ACACAAACAGGTCTGCGTCCTTCTTGTGTTGAGGGCCCCAGTGATAAACACAGTACTCTAGGTGGGCTCTCAGCAGGGCAGAACAGAGGAGAATCCCCTCCCTTGACCTGTTGCTGATGCTCTGGGGATGCAGCCCAGCACACAAGAGGGTTCTGGGCTCAAGTGCACATTGCCAGGTCATGGGGAGCTTCTCATCAACCAACACCCCCAAGTCCTTCTCAATTTAGTCTCTGCCCAGCCTGTATTTGTACTTGGGATTGCCTGAAACCATGTGCAGGATCTTGCACTTAGCCTTGTTGAGGTTCACATGGGCCCACCTCTCAAGCCTGTATTTGTAAAGCTGCTGAGCTTTTTCCCTACTCTAATGGATATTTGTATTTTATTATCTCTAAAGACAATCTGCTATTTGGGGAAAAGAATTAAAACAACCCTCCTAAAATAGTTTTACAGCTTAATGATCCCTGCAATGAAATATTACATTGTACACTGAGACTGCATGCAGGCTTCAGTGAGAGGGTGGAACTGATCACAGGATCAGAACACCATGACTGTGTCCTTTGCCAAACTGCCCATCTCAGTCTCCTTTTCATAGGGTGATGGTGATACCTCACAAGGCTGTTATGATAATTAGCTTATGTGAATAAAAGTACATGGCTCGAGGGGTAAAGTTTTTTGTACCTCCAGACCTTCCAATGTTCCCAGATTGTGTTTTGGTGCAGGATTACAGAACATCTGTTCTGTTTAGTCCTCCTTGTATTGCTGTTAACGTTTTGGCAAAGGCACCTGGAACACAGCATAGATGCATATGTACATAATATCAGAAGTCAAAAGGAGTGTATTCAGGTCCTGTTTGATTTATAGCCTGTCAAACACAAAGAATAAACCCATCTTGTGTTTAGCTTGATGGCTTAATTTGCACAAAAATAGGAAGGTCCAGAATTTAGTGTTTCTTGGCTCGGAACCTGCCCCAGATTGCTACCTGTAGTAAAAAGGGCAGGGGATGGGATCTATAAATGCTTGTCAGGCCAATGGAACTGCCAGGCTGCAGCAAGAAGCAGAACTTGGGCTACTCTGAGCGTGCACTTTCCACAAGGCAGATAAGAGGTGTAAGCAAAAGTCTGCACAATGCTGGGAGGAGGGGAGGGGGTGAGGTGGCACCAGCAGTTTTAAGGGGAAACCCTCAAGGGATCATTATGTCCATCCATGCTGACCTGAAACCGAAAATCCCACACATTTCCAGTGCCTACGTGGGCTACGTTCCTCCCACCCAGTCCCTCATCCCTACTCATTTGTCTGTTTTTCAGGGTCAAAGTTGTTTCTAGGCAAATGGAGAGCCAGTTTCCTTTCATGTGAGTGGAGCCATATGACTTGTTTGCTTTTCCTTCTTCACCTCCTGTTCCCAAATGATAGTTCCGCACCCAGGCAAGGAGCAGGGGTGATGACTGCAAGAACAGGGTTAGACTTGCATCTCTACTGCACCCAGCTTGCTCCCACAGGACGCAGCTCCTGCTGCAATTCTCTGGCAGGGAGGACATTTGAGTTGCACAGCTTGACCCAGAGGAGGGCCACAAGGATGATCAGGGGACTGGAGCATCTCCTGTATGAAGACATGCTGAGAACATTAGGGCTTTTCAGCCTGGAGAAGAGAAGGCTGCGTGGAGACCTCATAGCAGCCTTCCAGTATCTGAAGAGGGCCTACAATGACTCTAGAGAGGGACTCTTCATCAGGGACTGTAGTGATGCAATGAGGGATAATATGTTTAAACAAAGGAAGCTCAGGTTAGGTATAAGGAAGAAGTTCTTTACTGTGAGGGTGGTGAGGCACTGGCACAGATTGCCCAAAGAAGTGGTGAATGCTCCATCCCTGGCAGTGTTCAAGGCCAGGTTGGACAGTCTCTTGTGTCTGTGTCTAGTGTGAGGCATACCTGCCCGTGGCAGGAGGCTGGAATTTGAGGATCTTAAGGTCCTTTCCATTCTATGTGAGCAGAACAGCTTCCTAAACTGAAAGGCAGCACAAGGTATCCTTGTTAGGACAGATGAGCAAGAGAGGCTAAAACCCAGTCTGCAAAGCTGTTAAAAGGAAATGAAATCTTTCACTTTCTGACCACAAAGATTAAATGGGAGGAGAAAATGTTGGCTATCTTCAGTTAGCTTGTGGCATTGAAGAACAACCATCAAGGGAAACAGTCTGCCTTCTGGGATAGTTATTGAGCAAGAGAGTGGATACAGCAGATAAAGGAAGATGACTCTTACCCAGAGAGGCTCAGCAGCAAAGAACAAACATTAGTGACTGGGGATTACACACAGGGAGAAAGGAAACACTAACTGGAGTGAAAAGCAGTGCAAAAACCTCAGGAAATTTGGGTTCCTCGAGTGTATTTTTGCAGCAGTGTGCACTGCTTTAAATCTCCTACTGAAGTTCTGCTGTTGTGGTCAAGTTCTCATTTTGTAGTTTAGAGAAGAAGGATTTGCAGCTCAGCTTTTGCAATATTTACACAGGTAAGACTTCCAGGGTTTTAAGATTTTGCCATGGGTAGGTATGGGCTCTTAGAAGTTACTTCTGACTCGGTAAGGACCTGGAGTCTGCACAATTACCATACTGTAAGTATTAATAGATCCTTCCTAATAGAAAAGTTATTTGAATTTAAGATTGTAGCTTAGTTTCTCTAAATTCCAAGTAATCAATTTACTTATGCTTCGGCTTTCCTTCTGCACTAATTGTCAGCTGTAAAGATTCAAAAGCTGCACAACATACAATTCTTATGTTTGTCAGTGGAAATGGCACTGTAAGTAAGTAATACCATGGTGCTAGAGTGTGTTTAGGACTATTGCAAAGTCAGGACTTGGTCCTGGGAGTAAACTTCAGTCTGCTCTCAACTCTGCCCCATAATTGAGATCTAATGAGTCTCTCCATGGTTCAGCTCCCCTCTTCTGAAAGATAGAGGGGGTTTGTCTCTTGCTTATCCTCATGTCTGTATGTGCCAAGGTTTCAGATCAGTGAGCAAGACTGTGAGGATGCTCCTCCTCAAGACAGCCTTACTCCATTCAGCTCAGTGCCAGCAAGAACAGGGTCTTACCCACCCAAGTCATAGGTAGGTGCTGCCACTTCTCACCCTGTGACAGCACTTGAGCTCCTTTGAACCCCACCTCAGAGCCAAAATAACTGGTTACCTTGTAGAAAACTAAGTTGAAAAGTCTTTGATAGGTTTTCCTGTGTCAGCAGCTGAATAGAAGCAAGGCAGCTCCCACCAGGACCAAACCTGGCATGAAGGGATGCCGAGGTTGGGAGCAGTGGGATGCAGGATGTGAAATGGAGACAGTGGTTGCCTTGCGGCACTCTGCAACCCAGATAAAACAGCAGCAGACCCGTTTCCCAACACCACCCTGATCTGAGGACTGAGGAGATGCAGGAGGGCTGCACCCCTCTCCCCCAGGATACCTGCAGGACTAGCTCCACGTAAGCCTCCTCCCCTCCCCTCTGACTCAGCTCTAATGCTATGCTCAGCTTTTCACTCCTTCCTCAGGCAACTCTGTTCATTCTTCCTCACTCCCCCTTTGCTGACTGGCAGCTTGATATGGCTCAACACACCCAACAGGCAGAGCTGGCCCACCCTGGCACTTCCAGGATACCTTTCTGCACCCACCTGAGCATGGGATATGGCTTCCCTCTCCTTTGCCATGACTTGTGGGGCGTTATCGCAAGCTCCAAGCACTCTTATATCCCTCTTCCTGTGAAGTCTGAAAGTTTGGGGGACACATGGAAGTTGTGGGAAGGTGTTGGAATGCACAGGATGCTCCCATTAGCCCAGTGGAGCAACACTGCAGCTCAGGAAACAGGTATTATTTCTGCTGTGAGTTAAGTCATTTTTGATGGTGAAATGGAAATCATGAAGAATCAGAGCAAGAAAACATGCCTGGAGTGAATTCCTGGGCTGCTAAACATTGATGTTGAGATTCCCCTTTTTGTTCATCCAGCAGCCCAAGGACCTTGGTGGCTTTTCCGCCTTAATCAGGACACAGCTCAGTGTGGGACGGGTGGGAATGCCCATACTCTTTCATGCTGAGACAGGAAAAGCCATGCAAGCCAGGAGTTTGCCTGGCAGCCTCAGCAGGCTTTGCAGATTGAAGTTATTTTAGAATAGTCTAGTCTTTCCTCTGAGGGTTTCTTTCTTAACATAGGGGCATGAGCAAGGAATTAGCTGCAAGGATAGGAAGATGTTACTTGTGCAGCCCTTTGTGTCATTAAAAGCAAATCTGGTCCAGGTCTGCTCATGAGCAGGTGAGTGCATAGAGATAAAACCACGTTCGGTCATAGGGAAGAGCTGCTTCTGGCAGAGGACAACATATACCAGAATGGGCACATCACTGCTCCTGCACACCCAGAGCAGAAGCAGGGAGATGCCTCTCTGCTCCTCAGATCTGGGGGACCATCAGACAGCCACAGCCATGCTCACACCAGCCTAAGACTGGACATAGTGAGAAGATCCAGTGCTGCTCTTGGAGCTGGCTGCATGCGAGGCAACTTAAGTCTGGAAGCATCCCAGCTTTGTCAAGCCCCTGAAGCCAACACGGGTGAGTTATCTTATTGCAAGCATCCAAGACTCGAATTAAGCATGGTTTGTAAGAGCAGGCACAATGCCATGCTGGAAGGTTACATGCCATTATGCCTTGCCCTAAAGGTGTGATGATTTGACTTGGGTCTCCACCAGCAAGGAGATTCCTGCACTGTGCCCTGTTGTGCAGAGCTGTGGCTGAGAGGCAGCCTGCCCAGGAGCTAATGGTTGAGGTTTGTTAGGACTTTGCCAGTTAGTTTAAAAGAGCCAGGAGGTGCTGTTTGGCCAGAAGTGGATTCTGAATTGATGTATTTTAAAGCTTTACCTTCCTGCAGCAAACATTTGTTCTTTGTCCCAAAGTCGAGTGAAGAAAGTGAACAACTTAAAACCAAGGTTTGGGGTTTTGGTTTAAGGAAGGGTAGAAGACAATGTTTAATTACATCGAACTCTAAAGGATGTCTTAGATTTCAATAGAAAAACTTCCAAATTGTAAACCAAAATAAACTCGGATAAAGAAAAAATCTTTCTTTTCCCTCAGAATGCTTGAAAGAAGGAAAATCATCAATTATGTAAGAAAGCTCGGCTCTCCTCTTGGCGAGTGACAGGGTCGCTCTTCCCCCAGGACCTTGCAGCTCAGTAGCAGCCGGTGACGCTACGCCCGGGCCACTTTGCCTTCTTAAATCCATCGGTGAGGAGCAGCGGGGGCCGCGGCAGAGGCCCCCGCAACCCGCCCCATCCCGTCCCGCAGCAGCGAGGGCTTTTCTTGGCGAAAACCTGCGATTCCGGCGTTCCTCGGGAATGAAAGAAAGTGACATGTTGGAAGTGGGGGGAGAAAGAGAGAGAGGAAGGGCTGTCCCTTCTGCAGGGCGGGATCTTTCCTCTTGCTTGATCTATGGAGCCCAGCCCCTTAAATTGGCTCCCGGGAGCGCCCCGGCCACCAGCCCGACGGGGGGAGAGGCGGAAAGCGAGGGAGAAGCAGGCAGGCGGGCGGGCGGCCGGATCCCCCGTCCCGGCCCGTCGGTGTCGGTCCCGGCCCGTCCGCCCCCCGCGCACCATGCGCGGCCCCCGGCGCCCCGCGCCCCTCCGGCCCGCCCGCCCCTAACGCCGCCCGGCTCCGGCGCCTTCCCCCGGCCGCGCTTCGGGGGGCGGGGAGGGGGGAGAAGGGGGCGAGAAGGAAGAAAAAAAGTAAGGATAAAAAACATAAGGGGGGGTGGGGGAAGGGGGACGAGAGGAAGAAGAAGGAGGAAAAGAAGAGCCAAGGGAAGCGGGGAAGGCTGCTCTCCTCTGAGGACAGCGCGCAGCACCATGCAGCTGGCGCCGCTGGCGCTGGCACTCACCACGCTCTTCATCGACGGCTTGAGGATAGGAGCGAGGAGGCAGAAGCTGCACCCCAGGCAAGGTAAGGGGGTGCTGGGGTTGGGGTACTGGGAGGGTGCTGGTGTGCTGCCCCCCCCCCCCCCCCCCCCCCGAGGGGTGGGGGGCTCGGCCTCCCCACTCAGGGGCGTGTGGTTCTCTTCCCTTGCAGCCAAGCTGCTGGAGAAGCTCAGCGAGTACGAGATCGTGACTCCTACCCGGGTGAATGAGTTCGGCGAGCCCTTCCCCACCGATGTCCACTTCAGGCGGCGGCGGCGGAGCACCAGCGCTGCCCCCGATGCCTGGATGGCCGCCTCCGCCGCCTCCCACAAGGCACACTACAGGCTCTCCGCCTTCGGGCAGCAGTTCCTCTTCAACCTGACAGCCAGCTCGGCTTTCATCGCCCCGCTCTTTACCGTCAGCCTCCTGGGAGAGCCCGCCGCCCACCAGCGGCGCCTGTACGCCGAGGCGGCCAACGCCGACGTGAAGCACTGCTTCTACCGCGGGCACGTCAACGCCCGCCCGCGGCACACCGCCGTTATCAGCCTCTGCTCCGGGATGGTGAGACCCGCGTCCCGGTCCCGCCGGGCGCCCAGCGGCGGCGCGCCGGGGCGGAAGCAAGGAGGAGGAGCGGGACGAGGGAGGGGTGGGCATTGGGATGGGGACGGCCCCTTCCCTCCGCCCGCGGAATAAGGGCTGGCGGCGCCGGCTCGCCCCTATCGGGGGTGACTTCCACCCCGCTTTTAGTATTCCGTCTGGTTCCGGCAGAGGGTGCTCCGCGGGTCTGGGGGGAAAAACTGCCACCCAGTGGCACCCCGGCGGGGAGGTCAGCGGGTCAGACACCCTCCTGGCCCCGGAGTGCTGGCGAGGGCTGCAAAAGGGTGATGGAGGCTCCCCACAGCGCTGACCCCAGAGCCGCCCTGCACCCCAGGGCATGGCCCACCGGGTGATAAAGGCACGCCGCCTGGCAGCCGCTCTTGGTGCCCTGCTTTGCAGGGGGATGTTAGCGAAGGAATGAGCAGAAGGTCCCAGCGGGGCTGACCTTTCTGGTGCCTTATAGCACCCTGGGTGCCTGTCCCAGGTGTGCCCAGGGGGGTCTCTGCTGTCTCCAGCTGGTTGGTCGCTCCCCTGAGTGTGTACACCCCAGCTAGTACACGTGTGTGTGCATGGGCATGCCTCCCTACCAGTTACTGGTCATGCATCCCAGTGTAGGATGGCTTTTAGTCTTGGATATCTTGTTTACATGCCAAATCCCTATGTTCATAGTCACATGCAACCAGGAGTGTTGGTGTTTTATCATGAGCTGGGATTTCAGTGGCTGGACACCTCCCTCTGGTCCTTACATGTGTGTTGAAAGCCTGTCTCAGGAAGAACTGCTGTATGAAAACCAGCAAAACCAGATAGAGTTGTACTGAGACCTCCGACATACTACAGCACCATCTCCCCTTGGGTAGGAGTGGTGTGGTAAATGGCACAGGGACAGGGTCTGGTAGACATGCCTCTCTTGTTCTTCTGACCTATGGGTTAGTAAATTTGCTTTCCGTAAATTGCAGTGGGATGGCTGCAGGGTGCAGTGCAGCCTGGTGTTGGTGTGATGGGACCTGAAGCTCACATGGGTTACTGCAGAACCAGGCACTCCCTCATTAACCACTCATTGCGTTGGGTAGTCCTGCTCCGTGGTTTGTCATTGCCCAAAGCTAACCCTCTGCTCCTCTCTGGTCCTTCTCAGCTAGGCACCTTCAAGTCTGACGATGGGGACTATTTTGTAGAGCCACTGCTATCACTCGAAGAACAGGAGTATGAAGAAGAGCACAATAAACCACATCTAGTCTACCGACACCGGACACCTCCAATGAACTCTTCGGGGGACAGGCAGACTTGCGACACTCCAGGTACACATTCTGTTACTGCTCTTGGTGACTTGGCACCTATGAAAGGGAACTCATGCAGTAAAAACAGTAAGTTTGGGTGGGGCACAAGGGATGTGGAGTTGAGGGACCCTCTAGAAATGGTGCTGCTGTGTGAGCTAGGACCGGGCTCGTGGTGGTACTGCTGTCCTGGAGAGATGTGGTGCGCCTGTGCTTCCTAGTAAGGGGTTAGAAGGAAGTTGTGGTCAGGAAAAATGTTAGGTTTCCGTTTCATCCCTGCTGAGGCTGGCAAGAGATCTGTTGGGCTGTCTTGCCTTAAATATCCCATGAACATTTCAACTTGCTTTGTGTCCTCTCCTACGTGTAATTTCTAACTATCCTAATCTAATTTGTTCTCTGTCTGAAATTATCTTTCTGTCCTTTAAATGACTTCTTGGTCTTGCTGTGCTCCTGGTCTTCCCTTCCCAAATGTGTTTGTGATTTGCAGTGTGTTATTTCTTTCTAGTGGAAATGAGAAGGTCCTAACACCAAGCCTGACAGTTCTTCCCTTATTAATCACTTTTCCATGGTTCATTTTCAAAGGCCTTTTTCCCTCATGGCCCTTTCTCCACCAGCACCATCTCCCTGACCTCCTCACTCCCTCTTTCTAGTCATCGCACATATGAAAGAGCACAAGGCTTTATCTCCCCTTCACTCGCCTTGGTGAGCAATAGCCTTGCTCCTACTGTCCCTATTATCTGCAGTGGCCTCCTGCTGCTCTCTGCTTCATTGACTTCCTGATTTTCACAACTAATCCTCTCCTTTGGCAGCAAATAACTAAGTTCTCTCCTGTTTCACCTACTGTTTTGCCCTCCTCCTTTGGCCTGCAGCTAGATCTGCAGGAGCTTTAAAGTCTAAACAGAGTAGACCTTGACTGACTTCCCTTGTGAAGGCTGCAAGCCGCTCATGTGCTGCAAAGTAGGTGGAGTTACTCAGGGAGTAAAGGTACCACTGGAGGAGAAGCGTGGTGCCAAACTCAGGCTTCATTTAACACGCGTGACTCATTTGGCACCCATGACTGTGGATTGTGGCTGTGCTGTTGAGTTGTCGGTCTGTTCAGCTTGAACTGATCGTGCTACCTCAGAAGATGCTCTGGTGCTCTGTGACCAGCCAGAGCCGATGCACTAGGAACATGTTTTTCTTCTAGAAGACATGTGGACACATGTCCACATACAGGCATACGTGCTGGGGGACAATGGTACCTCTCACAAGGCCATCGTTGTTTGTTCTTCCAAGGGTTGCTGCTGGACTATGCCATTCTGGTTTCTCTCTTCCAGCTGTTTCTGCTCCCTTCTTTGAGATCAGATGCAGGAGACTCAGAACAGTTGGAAAGAAACACGGAATCTGGCACATTGCATCAGTAGCCCTTGGAGGAACGGAGCAGCAGATCACAGGACTCATTGAATCGAAGGTAGCTGGGAGGGCTCTGGCTTTGGCTTGTGGACTTCACTCTGTGCCGTTATAACAGCCTGCTGTATTTCACACCACTGTCATAGCTTCCACTGAGGGTATTATTCTTCTGGATCATGATTCACATGAATAATGCTCCATCTATGGTATTATATATATGATGTATATCTCTCTCCTCTTTTCCAACATGCTTTGCCTCTTGCTTATCTTTATTTCCTTGCTCTTCTCAGTTGCTTCATGTAGTGGAGGGAGAAGATCTTGCCTCTCACATGCAAGCTTTAAGGCTCCAGATAGGTGTGACAGTTTTACTTGTCCTCCTGTCCTCTTTCTCTCCATCTCTTGCTTCCTCTTTCACCATTGTCCAAGGTTTTGAAACAGAATGACGTATGGTGAAGAATTCTTGGTCACTTAATTTAAGTAGCATGTGCAGAGCAGCTTGGGCAATGCTGAACCTTGGTGTTCCCTGTGGATCTGGTGGAAAGAAGGCATCTCACATGTCTTTGGAGCAGAGGAGAAAAAACAAAATCTGGTAGCACTCACTGTTTTGAACAGGGTGCATCTGTCACTCCCAGCAGAGAAGAATGGTTTCATGAGAGTCTGGGGGAGCTTGTTAGAGCTGTAGGTAGTTGTGTGAATCCAGGGAGAAGAATGTGTGAAAAGGTGCATTTGCTTTGCAGGCTTCTGGCAGGGATTGAAATTTGCTCAAAGAGGAAATTAATGCAAAGGAAATCTTTGGTACCACCCTGCAGTGAGCAAGGGAGCCTGCATTGCCGGGTACTGGGGCTATTAAGAACAGCTTTCTGATAGTCTTCTTCCTGGAAACGATTAATAAGCAACACACCGGTGTGCCCTTGCCATGATGATGTAATTATAGACTTATTGCAGTATCCAAGAAAAGTTTCCCTTGTGAGTTGACTGACAGATTGAGTAAAAGCTTTCATTTCCAGTGGTCTCCTGGTGTTACTTTTGGTTTTCAGCATCCTCAGGTCAGCTTAGAAAAACATGTATTTGATTTTCTATAGAAGTTTTAATTAGCCATTTCTGATAATGGTTTTAGGTCCTCTGACATACGAGATACTCTGCAGATGTTGTGAAAAAAGGCCTTTCTTCTCTGAACGCTGATGGATATCTAATGCAAACTGTGCTCTGAATATGAACTTTCATAGCACAAACCAGGGTCTCCTGGCAATGCACTTCAGCGTCTGGTGTATAGCTCAGCCACCGCAATAAAAACTTTTGACAAAGTTTTCCTTGGGGTAACAGGTTAATGTAGTTTCAGTCATAGGAAATGGTGCAATTTCTCCTCCTTCCCGTCTTTTAGTTAGTACCGTGAATCAATTTGTCATCTGGTCAAGGATCTGGCAGAATAATTAGTTGCACTTTACTGAATAACCCTGACGGGATGAAGGCTTGGCCTGGTTGAGAGCGTGATGTCAGTAGGTGCAGCGCCGCTACCACCCATCGCTTCATGATAGCAAGCTTTTCCGATCCAAATTATTAATATCCGCTTTTTTGAGGTGGAGGAGGAAGGGAAAAGAAATTCTGATCCTAAAAAAAGAAGAAAAGGAAGTGGCTCATTGCGAAGCTGGAGAGTGGAGCTTTCCTGCGCCCTGCGGAGGAACAATCTGACTCCGATGATAAAAGGCGCGTAGCTGCATCCTGCAGCTGTGTCCCTCTGTGCCGGCCGGTACTGGGGGGCCAGCAGCAGCAATCTGACCGGCCCATCCAGTCTGACCTCCTGCGAGGAGCAGACCTGCCAGCCCTACCCACTGGTTTCCATGT